TGATGGAACGGCCGATATTAGTGTTAAAATTAAATATCAGACATCGGCCATTCCATCAAAATAACTCAAGGATATAAAATACGCTGTTTTTGTACGACAACCCAGTGACAAGGATGCCTGCAACACCAGCACAACGTGATGACGTCTTGCGCACCTACCTGATCTGATCACGGTGGAGAGGAAGAAGTCAAAATGTCGACGGTGTAGAAGGTTTTTTTTTTTGTTGTTGAGGATGTCAGATTCCGAAGATTTTTGGACTACGTTGAGCTTCGCTACATCGTCCCCAGTCAGAGATATTTTTCCGACGTAGCCTTACCCGAGTTACAAGCCGTCATTTCCGACGTCATTGAGAAGCTAATTGCCGATAGCACTTGGGTGAATTTTACCACAGACATTTGGACGTCGTGTTAGCCCCGTTAGCATGATTAGTCTTACGGCACAATGGATAGACAAAAACTTTGAACTTAAAAAGGCTGTCCTTCATGCACAGGAGTACAGAGGATTCCACACTGCAGCTAGGAACCTGGAACAAGCCTCCACAACTTAGTGAGACATCACAGGTGACTAATTCTTATAAATAACATTTAACACTTTTCATTTAATACAAGTTAAAGCGCTATGCATATCATATGGCTGTTACTAAATATGTCACCAGCTCTTACAGCTGTTACACAATTTTTATAGCAAATAAGCCTAAATAAGAGAGAGGGCTATGTTCTGACAAAGGAAAGTATAAAAAAACATTGGCATTGGTTATCGGCCAAATAAGTTTTAACATATCGGCATATCGGATATCTGCCAAAAATCCAATATTGTGCATCCCTAATCTATATACAAGGCTGCCCATGGCATTTTGTTTTCTACCTGTCTGGTGGTAGGCTTGCCTTTGTAGAAGTCATTATTCTCTGATGAGTGTGGGGGGTCAAATCGTGGCTGAAGGAAAACACAGCCTAGCGTTAAGGCCTCAATAGGAGCTGGACCCTCATAGGGGAACCCAAGACCTACAAAAACCTGAAGAGGAAAACAACCTGAAGAAGACTTGCCATTTTCCTAATAATGTGCTATTTTGAATAATAAGCAAGACAAACATCACTAACGTTCAAAACTGTGCAATTACCTCACCTACAGTGAGACACATTCTCTGTAATAACTAGGATGTTTTGGCTTCTTTGGAATATTTTCTGATTATCTGACCTTTGTTCTGTGCAGAAGTCGTAGGAAGTCCTCCTGAGACAGAAGTCCATGGTTTTTGATGAAACTGGGAAGGTCGGAGGAGTGTCCTGGAGGTCGGTAGACTGTGGCATGAGTCTCTAACGCTTCACTAATAACCTCAAGATACTGAGTTTTACCCTGGTTTATACACAAACAGTAAAAGGTACACAGTATACACAACATTGTTAAAGCAGATTTAAAGAATTATCAGAACTGTATGTCAGGATCTGTGAATTTATTATTTGGTATAACTTTGAATGTACATTTGCATTCATTCCCTTCATAGTTTATTATGTTCTTTTTCTGTGTTCTGGGTTTTTTGTTTTGACTTTTAGTGTTTTATCTGATCAGTTTCTCTGTGGCATCAGGTTCAGATCCTGGTCAGTCTTTTGTTTCGCCCCTGTGCTCCCTGTCATCTGTCATTCAGCCTCCTTAGTGTTTTTTTCCAGTCAGCCACTCTCCCTGGTTAGTAATCACCCCAGGTGCCTCCACTTATTTAGTCCTTGTCTCACGACTCACAGGCAGTGCATTATCGGCCTCATGCTACATCAGGTTTATTTTCCTGGTCTTCTCGTGCATCCCTTCTGAATTTTGTAAGTTTTGTTTTGCTGCCTCGGCAACTGTTTACTATTAAAGAAAAGTTTAGTTTGTTGAATTCCTTGAGTCCTTGTCTGCATTTTGGGTCCAATCCTGCCACAAACTCATCAACACTGTAGGGGTTAAAACTTCTACAGTCTTATCATATAAACCATTACATTGTTATCATTTGGTTAATTTTAGTGATTTGCAAGTAGCAGAAGCAACAGCAGCTAGCTGGTCCTGTGCAGTCTGAGGCACTTCCTGCAGGAATATCAATATATTACATCCTCATCAGTTTCACTGTTTAATGTGAAACTGATGAGGATGCAAATATTTATAAAATATCCTTATAAAACAGAAATAATGTATTGAAACGATAATTTGGGCTCCTCCACTAGCCCTTAGCTCATCATTCTTCAACCATTCAAAGTGTTATCTACAACAAGTAAGATATTCATTCAGCCCCACTTCATAAAATCTGAGCTGTCCTTTTAAAACGTGCTCTTTAAACTTGAAATCTGGAATGACTTCTCTACAAGTGAATATTTTTTCGTGTTCAAACATGTTTTTTTGGGTCCATAGTGTGGATCTGAACAATCAGTTTAATTATTTGAATAAAAGAGGGATTTGGTTTATTTGATTTAAGGTAGCGGGCAGCACGGTGGCGCAACTGGTAGAGCTGCTGCCTCTCAGCGAGCAGGTCCTTGGTTCAAACCCCGGTCCAGGGGCCCTCTGGGTGGAGTTTGCATGTTCTCTCCGTGCATGCGTGGGTTTTCTCCGGGTGCTCCGGTTTCTTCCCACAGACCAAAAACATGCATGTTAGGCTGATTGGTAACTCTAAATTGTCCCTAGGTGTGAGTGAGAGAGTGAATGGTTGTTTGTCTCGTTTGTCTCTATGTGGCCCTGTGATGGACTTGCGACCCGTCCAGGGTGTACCCCGCCCCTCGCACAGTGATTGCTGGACATGGGCACCAGCGACCCCCGTGACCCAAAATGGAATAAACGGGTAAAGAAAATGGATGGATGGATGGATGTTTCCTGATAAGAATGGAGGTAAATGTATTGTAAACTGAACTAAATGTTCAATCAGTTTGACCAGTAGACATTTTGTGGTTATTAAAATATGTGTAAGTGCTTACCCTTACAGAGGTAATTACTTTTTGGCTGCTTCTTCATACTGCCAGCATCTTAAATTCTTTTAAAGTGGCCATCAGTAAGAACATTTTACTTGTGCCAGCCCATCCCGTACATGCAAAAAGCTCATCACTATCATACAAAATCTATAGCTATCATCAATATTTTGACACATTTCTTGCAGTCTCTCAGGCTTTGTACTAATTACCTTTAATTATCATACCTGCCACATGTATTCCTGTTTGCCATAAACCACTGCTATCTTGTCTTTCCTGTAACTTTTTGACTCGGGCTCATCATCCTTTACTGCCTCTTCACTCACAAACCCCAGGAAGGAATTATCAGGAGTATGAGCTGGAAAAAAAAAAAGATAAAAGATGGTGAACTATTATGTTCAGCAAAGATTACTTTAAAAATAAGCTGATTGTGAAAAATGTGGCTAAAGTACTAAAGAATATTACTTTTGGCCACCAGAACTGACAACGCTTCAGCGAGCAATTTAAATTGAGTTTCTGTCAGAGAAGGAAAACACACGATTAATCATTTGTCAGTGGAAATATGAACTCTAGAGGAGGCTGGGTGTTTGGATAGGCAGCTGCTGCTTTCTGACACACTGGAGAAGGTGCTGGAGATGAGTATTTACTTTACAAAGAATGTGCCAGCAAAGGTATGGGGTCAAGCGTTGCATTTTTATTCTCTAACGTGAGTGTGGCTCTCTTCTGTCTCATGATGCTTGTTTAAAAGACATTTGCCAAAACAGTCCTCGTCCATCCAACACAAAATTTCCTGCTTTTCCGCTCCACTTGTCTCCAACACCTGTCCAAGTTCACAGCTTCAAACACACCTCAGATTAGCAGGGATAAGCAATGGAACACTGATGTGATCATGCAGCTTGTGGAGGGTTGCAACAAAACCACAAGTCCTAGCATTCTTTGAAATAATGCAAATCACCCACCACCTTTCTTAAAGTTTAACACTAAGATGATCTTATGATAGGAAGAGATGCAGCCATTTTGGTCATACCTTGTAAATAATGTCATGTGGGATATCACGAAACGTGTTCGCTCTTAGAGTATAGGTGCTGGTCATAAAATTGGAATATCATGAACAAGTTGATTTATTTCAGTAATTCCATTCAAAAAGTGAAACTTGTAAATTATATTAATTCATTACACATAGATATATTTTAAATGTTTATGTCTTTTAATGTTGATGATTATAAATGACAACTAATGAAAACCCCAAATTCAGTATCTCAGAAAATTAGAATATTACTTAAGACCAATACAAAAAGGATTTTTAGAAATGTTGGCTAACTGAAAAGTATGAACATGAAAGTATGAACATGTACAGCACTCAGTACTTAGTTGTTGCTCCTTTTGCCTGGATTACTGCAGCGTGGCATGGAGTCGATCAGTCTGTGGCACTGCTCAGGTGTTATGAGTCCAGGTTGCTCTGATAGTGGTCTTCAGCTCTTCTGAATTGTTGGGTCTGGTGTATCGCATCTTCTTCTTCACAATACCTCATAGATTTCATTGAAATGGCTGTGCTAGCTATATCGGCCATCTTAAACAGAGTTTATGCCAAAATGTAATCAAGTAAATGTACATTTAATGATTACTTTCATCAAGTTTCATTGTAATCTGTACAGTTATCCATGAGATATTTTACTAACAGACAGACAAACAACACAGATACAGGCAAAACATTTCCCTTTTGCCTTCAGTAGCAGGAGATAAAAAGTTGTGACTGCATGAAACGTCTTTTTTGTTGATTTTGACAATTTTGCAGTAAAATTAAAGTTTGGCTTCGTGGGCTAATCCTTATCCTTCTCATGGCTTTTTTCACAACAGAAGCTTAAATATTTTCAGTCTTTTTCTTTCCTTCTTTCATGACTTTTGTTGTCTCTCTGCTATTTAGGTTCAAATTTGTTCAGCCCTTCTCATATTCTCAACAAACATCCATCTCCCTTCTTGCTCAGCAGGACAAATAAACAAAATGTCTCTGCCTGATAAATGAAGAGCACCTCTGGGCTCGCCGCTTCCAGCTCGTCTCCGTCTCCCAGCAGGATAGGACAGATGACTTGGAGAGGTGTTGGAATATAAGCTCTCTATGGCCCATTAAACCTAAGCTGTTAATCTTTTTACTACAAGTTTGTGTTTGGGAGGCGTATGATGCATTACAGTGACAGACTTACGGAACATAGTCATATACTGCAGAGGATTGAGACTCCAGCTACCCCACTGGGTTTTATATCCATGGCTTCGAGCGTAAGTTCCCAAGTTGAAGGCTGGTTCAGTTCCAAATGAGTCCAGAATCCTAAAACGGCACCTTGAAATGTTTTATAAGAAAATAATTTCAAGCTCAGATTAATATCAGTTGACTGTGTACATGTCTGACATCATGACGTGACTTTTTTTTACCATTTAAAATCACTAAAAACTTCCAAATAGATAAGTGTACATTTGTATGAGGATAACTTAGTCTCAAAAGTAGTCACACAAGTATATGAGATTTGTACACACACAAGAAGATCTACAAGTGTACCACAAGTTTTACAAATGCGTATTACAAAATTCATAAATACATAAACAGTTTTCAAATGTACATATTTCACATTACACAAGTAGGAATGTTCAGTGCATACAAATTGCCAAATGCACATGCACAAATCACCTACTGTGGACGAATCAGTCAGCATGAGTGCACGAATCAGCTTTTTTATTCACTCAACCTTTATTTAGACAGATAAGTCACACTGAGCCTAGATTTATAAGTGAGATCTGTTTAAACAGACAAAATGTAGTGAAACTGGACACATGTAGGAATTGGAGGTGAAAATATTCCTATCAGACTTTTTCTTCCTGCCTGAGAAAACAAAACCTCTGATATTAAAAAAACACCTCGCACAAACAAGCACATAGTGACGTAGACATTCTGCAGAAGGGGGGGGGGGGGGGGGGGAACGACAAGAGTGGTGACCATGTCCATAGATGCTCTCAAGGGCACTGTAAGAGTTCTGATAAGGATGTAATAATCAGCCAGTGTCCTCTGGTGAGATCCATAAACATTCTCGAGGTATGTCAAGGAATGGCCAAGAATAACATCTATGAGAATCCAAGAGTCCTGAAATGATGACACAATGTTTATTCAGCTGGTTTCCTCTTGTTGATCAGTTGGAAATTCCTCAGGGAGGGGGTGGTGAGCGTCAGATCACATGTTCTCCAGGTGAATTCAGATAAGATGGCCTTCAAGCCAGCCAAGGGAGCCAAATTCAGATAAACACACAGTTGTTTTGGGGACAGGCAGAACTTAATGACATCTACCTCGAGTCTGTGTTGGTCCAAACGTTTCCGAAATGTCCAAATTACATGGTCACACCGATGGAACGTGACTGAGTAAAATCCCCGAGATCTGATCCATTCTGCCCAAAGCATTTGAGTCTGGATACTCGTGGCACGAACCAAGCCATCATAAAGACAAGCAGCATGATCAGGTCCAAATTTGCTGCAGATGACTTCCTTGATTGTTGATAAAACCAGCAACCAGCCGAATCCAAAAAGCAGGAACCAGTTATCGTAAATCCAATTAAATATGTGTCCTTAAAATCCACAAATGGCAGCAGAGATAGACACATCATCAAGTCTTCCAAGTCGATGAGATATCCAGCTACGTGCATGCCAACAGGGCAATTGGCTCACCTAAAGCCTGTCTTCTCTTCGAAGAAATGTTATCAATTGTGTTGAAGGACCAACTGATCAAATCAAGTCTATAATTATGGTTTGGAAGATATGCAAGAGAGGCTCAGAAGCAGTTTCACAGACAAGACAGAGCAGCAAAGCAAAGCAGAGAGGGAGGGGAGAAGCGTCCGATCTCGGCAAGAGTAAGTGGTGAAGTGAGTAAGCTTGCCTATGAATGTGACATTTGAGACTTTCTTGCCACTTTAGATTTGTAATGCTGCGTTCAAGGCTAATGAAAAGCTGGGACATTGAGGCCTTACCAGATATACTGAGGGTTCTGCGCTGTATCTAAGCTATTCCTAGGACTGGGCTCTTCTAGACAGAGACTGTTCCTGGGATCTGTGGGAGCTATTTTTCCAGTTTGTGGCTCACAGCACAGAGTGTTCCAATGGCCACTGGGATCACTGACATTTTTTTGACTCTCCATAACTTCTGTATTTCCTCGTTTAGCCCTTGGTATTTCTTGAACTTCTTGTGTTCCTTCTTCCTGATGTTACAGTTGCTTGGGATAGCTACATCTATCACCACTGCTTTCTTCTCTCACTTGTCAACCATCACAATGTCCACTTGGTTAGCCATCACCTGTTTGTCAGTCTGGCCCTGGAAGTCCCACAGTATCTTAGCCATGCCATTCACCACCACCCTTAGTGGCGTTTTCCATTTTGACTGTGGGACCTCCAGTCCATACTCAGCACAGATGTTGCTGTATTCTAGTCCAGACACTTGGTTATGGCATTCCATGTATTCTTTGCCTGCCTGTATCTTACACCCTGCTATTATGTGTTGACTTCCTCAGGGGTATGTTTGCACAGCCTGTATCTTGGCTCTTGTCTGTTTTAGGTAGACCCCGGCCTCTATTGCTCTTGTGCTGAGGGTGTGTTCTTGTGCTGTCATGATTAGTGCCTCTATGCTGTTCTTCAGTCCAGCCCTTTCTAGCAACTGGTAGGATTTGTTGACATCAGCCACTTCTTCAATCTGCCAGTGGTACATGCCATGCAGGAGCTTATCTTTCCATGATATATATAATGTATATGATTCTATATAAATTATGATATATATATGTATATATATATATATATATATATATGTGCTTATTTAAATGTGTATAGTAGGCTACCTCAAGGTTCGACTTTCGTGGACTTGCTCTTTCGCAGTTTTTCAACGATTGTCAACTTTAATATTACTCATGTGATTGGGCCGGTACAGGATAAAAAGTTTTTAAAAATTCAGACAGACGCCATCATTTTTCTTCCAGTATGCCTACAGTGTATTTATTGCCAGTCAAAGAACTACACTACCCAGAAGCCAACAGTGCTTCCGGCCACTGCTTTCTGCTGAAATGGAGGGAAAGTTTTGATCCGATCCGAACCTGACCAAAAAGTTTGGTCCTTATTCATAGTGACTTCGGCACTCAGTGGATGCAGAGAGCTGATCAGAACTGGACCAGAACTGGACCATGGCTACTTCCAGTCTCATCGGTCAATCTGAGTGCTGCTTGCTATCCCATGAAGCCTCTCAAGCAGCTGCAGAGAGCCGATCCGAACCGGACCAGAACCAGATCAAGGCTGGTGAATACCCATATGACATTTTGCAGTAGCTACTGAGCAGAACATATACATGTACGTAAGTGGTTAAAATTACTTAGGTTTAAAAGTTTTTGCGGTTTTTCACCTATAGCAGGGGGTGGGGGTGGAACATAACCCCCTCGATAATCAAGGGACTGTTTATGCATTGGTAAAACTTGTAGTACACTTGTGGATTTTATTGTACACATGCAAATCTCATTGTACACTTGTGTGACTAATTTTTAGACTTACTGTATTTATTAGGGATGGGGCCGATCCGATCCAGTATCGGTATCGGCCTCCGATACCAGCATGATTTACGTATCGGATTTTTCCGATCCACCTGCCGATATTTCCGATCCATGATGCATGTTGGCTTCAAACTACGGAATGGATTTCCTGAACGGAGGCGTGTCTCATGAACCCAGAGTAATAAGACCCGCCTCACATTCAGGAAATCCAGTTCATAGTTTGCAGCCAGCTAAAACATGAGGACAGAGTTAGCAGCACTGTGGCTAACAGCTAACCAACTTTTCATCTAAACATGCCCGCTGTGTGGAAGTATTTTACACTAGAAACACCACAAAACAAGACGGCATCGTGCAATGTCTGCAGAGCCATAGCGCCACATTAAACCGCGGTAAAGTTAGTTTTACGTTGGACATTTGAGCTCTGTGGCTTCAGCGGGGAGCTACTCTTTGGTCAACCGGAAAGAGGCGACTCGACCCCGCCAGCCGCGTCCAATCTGCCCCGCTCAGTCTGCCCGTCTCTGAGGAGGGACAGACTGAGCGCAGCTGCCCCAAATCAGGCTGCTTGCTTCGGATTGAACAAGAAGAAGACATCGCTGAAACCACAGAGCTCAAATGTTTACAGAGAAGTTGCTAAACTTCATCATAATTAATGACAAACCACTATCACTTGTAGAAAACAAAGGATTTCTCAGCTTGATACTTGCAGTCAAGATATAGTTTACCCTAAAAGAGATATTTATCAATACAACAGTAAACAATCATAAAAAAAAACATGATTTGAAAATTATATTAAAAGCAAAAACAGCTACATTATAAAGTGATGTAAAATACTAAAAACAGGAACATGCCTGTTGATTTATGCCATGAACTTAGCAGATGTTTGAAGCCATTTAACATTTTATTTAATTTAATTCATTCATTTAAAAGAAACAAAATTTAACAAAAATCATGAAAAAGAAAACATTGAAAGAAAAGAGTGCAGAAAGAAGAAAATAATTCTTATATCTGCCCCTTATTTAAAAAAAATATAAAATAACTTTAAACAATCACTTAAATTAATCACTTTAATATCCACTTTAAAGCTAGGAATAAAAAGAAACATGTTTTGTGTTAGCAGAATTTAATTATAAGTTTAAAACTTGTCCAAAATTAATAAAACTTACCTCAAGTTGCCTTTTTGGACATGCATGCATATATTTGTACAAATTGTACTTGAGAGGAGATTATTACAGCCTCATATAAAATCAATGATGATGATGATATCGGAACTGGATCGGTATCGGCCGATATTCAGACTTAGGTATCGGGATCGGAAGTTTAAAAAAGTGGATCGTGCATTCCTAGTATTTATCTTCATACATTTGTTCCTAAATGCCTAGTCATGTTGTTAGAAACACCCAGGTCATACTGGTAATGCTGGAAAGCCAGTCCCATGGTTCCTTGAAGGAAAGCAAGCCCGTGGTAGTCGGTATAAATGAGGTCAAAGGTGAGAGGCCTCTGGATCGGACAGCTGCCTCGGCCTGGCGCAGCACCTATCAGACTTGAGGGAACACAGGAAATACACATCAGGTTTGAGAAACCCTTTAATTTTTGTTAGTTTTGTTTTTCTTTGAAATCATTGAAGCCTGAATAAATTATACACTAGTGATGCCGATAAGCTGCCACTACCTTTGCCATTGCAGTTTATTTCCAACGCTGAGACAATAAGTTAGTGTTTTCTGCTCAATCCACAATGTTTTAAATATAAATATTTATTTCAAAAGGTATTAGTTTAAAAAAAAACTTTTCTTTTTAATTTTACAACCACCTTTCAGTAAAAAAAATTACCATATTTAAATTATGTTGAATATATGGTTGGCATATTTCTTCGCTGAAAACAGTCCAAACTAAAGAATTGAACACATTCAGCGATTAAATGATTATTCTAACATGCTGGTTTAGTTAGACAAGGAAAATAGAAGACTAAAAAGGCCTAAAGTAACACAGTTGTATTCCTCGTGCTAATTTGTCTTGTTAAGGTAGAAAATCTCAATGTCCACCTGCGGAGCTGCTGCTGTGAGGTGCTAAAGGTCACGTCATGACCCAGGATCATCAGGCAGCTGCTGAGGTCGGCCCACTGGACCAACTCTCCAAGAGGACCACCTCTGTCCACCATGGCTTCAAAACGCTGACCGCCACTCCCAGCCAGGGCACCAGGAAAAAGCAGCACCTACAGGATGGGAAGTTAAATTCATCTTAGACTGTGCAGAGATTGTAAAAACTCCTACAGAAATTTATTTCTACATAGTATAATATAGCCTCTTTAGTTTTATTTGCCAGTTTTTACTTATATACTCTCTCTCTCTCTATATATATATATATA